AGCTGTAGCGTCGGCATACATGGACTACTTTTACTCGCACGGGTTGATCTCGATCGAGCTGTACAACCGCGGGCGGCAAGTGTGCGGCGACAAGGGCGTCGCCAACTGCGTTTACGGTCGGTTCTTGTCTCGATCTCCCGATGTCATGCTCATGGAACACGTAAAGGCGGCGGTGTCTGTACTCCTGAATGCCTGGCGACGTTGGAGGAAAGCATTGCGAGCTCGGAATGGGAAAACGCGGGCGACCTCAACCAGTACTACATCTTTGGCGACGTGTGCAAGCTCCAGAACAAGCAAGCGCACACTCTCCTCGACAAGTCCATTCGACCGCTCACCCATCGCGGTGTGGTAGGCTTTTCTAAAGGCGCACATCACGTGCGTGTGTACCATGGGACGACGACTGGCGTAGGTGGGCCCTTGCCAAGACATGTACACTGTGGCGTATCTGCAGCTCGCCGCCGTGCAAGATGCGATTCACGTCGCTGTACATACCGAGTGGTCCGATTGTTCGGACAACGTGTCGACGCACTACACGCGCAGTGCGTCTGCCTTGCCAAAGTACTCGACGATTCTCCAAGCCGGGTTGAAGGGGCTCATCTACAGTGGGGATGCCGACTCGAACGTCAACTTTCTCGGGACAGAGCGATGGCTCACGACGCAAGGGCTCAACTTGACCGTGCGGGAAAAGTGGCAGAGCTGGTTCGGCCCCGACAAGCAACTGGCGGGGTACTCGACCCGATACACAAACCTGACGTTCATGACCATCAAGGGTGCTGGCCACATGGTCCCTGCCACGCGCCCGCTGCACGCGTTGTACATGTTTGAGTGCTTTGTGTACGGCGACCACCAATGCGCAACATTCACGTACCCGAAGGACGCGCTCGAGTATTTGAGTGGTGCCGATTCTTCCATGGCCCCTGCCGACGGCTACGTGTGGTGGGTGGTTGGCAGTCTCGTTGGTATCGTGGCCCTGGCGCTCTTGGGCTGGCGCTTGTACGTCAACCAGTTTAGTCAATACACCGAATTGGAGACCAAGCCGATCGCGGCCAGCTCGTAAAGGGCGTCAGCTACAATTTGCTAAACAATTGATGTGCTCCTGACAATTTGGGTTGACGGCGATGCCGCGGCTCCATGGCACGGAGGAAAGCCAGGATGCACAAAACAGAACCCACGGTTGGAGGAGCCAGCCAGCGGCCCACGGCGGCAGCATCGCCTTACCATCTATCGCCCGCGTGCAAGTGGGCTCGAATACAAGGCAAGTACAGGTGCCACCATTGGAGACTATGCAGACGGCGTGTGGGATGTCGGTGTGCGCCAGTCGTTGAAAGGGGGGATGAAATGTTCAAGTGCATCTGCATGGTTTGGGCTGTGCTGTACCGTTCGATCTTGCATGGACATTGCGAGGCCCTGCACAGGCGTGACCCGCCTCTTTCACAGCCAACAACGGCGCGGTCGGTGATTTCACGGACGGATCAAGGGAGCGACGGACGGCAATGGTCCGAGGAATATGTTGGTGCGTCTTTTCGGCACCATGGCGTCGCCGCAAACGTTTGGATGGAAGCCACGTGCAGCAGTTGTGGCGATATCCGCTTGCGTGGTGAAACCTCGTGTCGTTGTGGTGCAGTAGGTGGTGCTAGTGTAGCCATCCAAGTGCAAGGCAGGCGGGTTTCGGGGTCGACGCATGAAGCGGACCCGCCGGGTGCGGCGGCCGTCGATCTCCAATCCTGAGTTGTTGCTGTATCCAAGCGAGTGCCACACGAACGTTTGGTCGATGCCACGGTGAATTTGGCTCACCACCGTCCCCATCATGGTTGGATTGTAGTATGGCACTATTTTGGATTAGGATTACTACAATTCATATCACGAAAGGCGGCCTAGCATCATTTTCGAATTCCACCATGTGGACGAGTGTGGTCGGAGGTGCGTTGGCTGCGGCAGCCTTCGTCAATGGCGGCAGCATGTTCACCACCAAGCCAGAGCACAAGATCACGTCGCTTCCTGGCTACAACGACCCCAAGCCCATCAACTTTGACCAGTACGCTGGCCACATTGC